GGCGAGTGGAGGGATGCACCCGGGATCTTCACAGACCTGCTGTGAGCAAAGCTGTGCACAGAAAGATGATCGTTGCATCTCTGGCCCGAATGAATTAGCAAAGGCCTTTAAGAAAGCTGCCGAAGGGCCGGGGAGATGGCTCAGTGGAATAAGCACTTCCCTGGCAAGCGCAAGGGTCTGAGTTCACTCCCCAGTTCCGCCAAAAAAGCTGCCGGTGTGGTCCTGTGTGGGTGAAGGCTTAGCCAGGATTAGTGGCAAGAAGAGAGTAACAAGGTGACTCTTAAAGCATCTCCATAGTAACAGCCTTGGGCTGGGACTGAAGATGACCCCAAACCACCCCCATGGAAGGACAGAAGCCCCCTTGACCCGGAGAAGCCCAAGAGAAGTGGCCAGGGGACCATTTTGATGCCAAAGCTGTATACACGATGATATGCAGACTACTACCAGCATTCAGAACCCGGATTTCCACGTTCAGATTCTAACTCGGACTTGTTATCTGCTCTTTGTAGAAATACCCAATCTTTCTGAGCTTTGGTTTCCTTTTTTAAAAATGAAAAATATCACTAGCCACTTCACAGGGCTGTTTTAATAATTAAACCAGAAAGTACATTAGCACACTGGGCATGCTGCCCGCACGTTTCTTAACAATGTTTCCCATACACCATATCACAACTGAGGGGCCTGGTAAAGGGAGCACAGGATGTCCGGGGACATTTTTTGCAACTTCCTGTAAATCTGTAATTATTTCAAAATAAAAGTTAAAGAATGTGCGAGTGTTTTGTATGTGAATGATTTAAAACTTCCCTTACCGAAGGAAGAACTCAAAGACGGCACAGAAGCACTTTTGTTACACGGAGTTACCCAGAAGTGAAATCAGAACAGAAACAAATCCTTCCGCCTTGCGGACCCAGAAAGCACGTGAGTGGGGGCACTCGGGAGCAAGGCAGGGCCTATCCTTGCACTTATCTGGGTTGCTGCGATATTTTCCTGGCCCAACTTGACGTCTCTGCCTACATTCACAACGCAAACGTTTCCTCAGCACACGCTCTGCCAGCGTTGTGCACCCTAAGAAAGCCAAGGAGAATTAAAGCTGGCCGTGTCTTAGTTACAGTCTCATTGCTGGACAAAATAACTATAAAGCTTACGCTTTACAGAGGTTTCAGTCAGTGGCCAGCTGGCTCCAAGGAGGGGAGGATGGCAGAAGGCCAGACAGAGGAAAACAGTCCATGGCAAGGCAGGCAGGAAGAAGCCAGTGCTGGAGGCAGGAGGTGTGTGTGCACCCAGCCCACACCCACAGTGACCCGCCTCCTCCCTCCAGGGTTCACCTCCGGTATCACACCCTGCTATACCATGGACGGATCCAGTAGCACGCACCATGATCCAGTCCACTTCCCAAGCTCCCACCTAGGAGCACACAGAGCTTTGGGGGTCACCTAGGTACAAGCCACAGCACCTGGTTCCATACATTCAGCACTCACTATATATCTCCATTCTCTAATGAAATTTAGTGCATGGAACAAATATTGCTGCTGTGCCTTGGATGGAGTAGCTACAGAATTCCTCCGGGAATATCCACCACCGTGGGTAAGAAACACGGTTTATTTTCCTTCACCCTCAGTGTACAGACCTAGGCCCAGCAAAGCGGACAAAGTTGGAGCTATGGCTGATGAGCACTGGTGACTGTGGAACAGCGCTGGTGTCCTGGAACGTCACAGGAGTGGCCTCTAGCTCCTGTCAATGCAGAACAGCCTATGCCGGCACAGCGGGGCAGCCGAGCTGCAGTCCGTAGCTGCTTCGCCTCCACTTCCTCCTTTCCTTCCTCTCTCTGTACTTCCTTTCTCCTCTCCCTCACCTTCCTTCTCCCTCCCCTCCCTTCCTGAGGACCAAAGAAAATGCCTGATGGACATAAAAAGAAATCTAGTGTTGCAGCCAAACCATGGGAACTGGAGATCAGCTACAGTTTCACATTCTGGAATGTCACCTTGCCAGAGAGCTCAGCTGGGCCTACAAGAGACACAGGGAGCAAGAAGAGAAAAATTTCATACAAATATCACCTTTTATACAACTTACAGAACTGCTGAGGAAGCTTTAAGAAACTAGCAGTTAGTTTTTAAAGACTGTTTTTATTTGAGGTTGGCATTCTGAGATGGATAGGACGGCACCTGGCTCCAAAAGCCAAGACAAGTGAAAATGAACGTTAAAAGTTTAAAAAGGATTTGTATTATAAAATGAGCAATTTTCAGGGTAATTTTTTTATAATTTGGAAACAGTTAAGTTTGCCTTTTATACACTTTCAACTTCAGGAATGATCATTCTGAAGACAAAAGTGAATAGTTCATTGCTGATAAAATAATAAGTGGACTAGTTCCAAGCAATGTCAAGTAACTTTATTTATTAGCAACGTGTTCCCTAGAATGCCCATGTGCGTGAGAAACTGCTAAACTTAATAATTTCGGCCTCCTGGACAGCTAATGAAAGTTTTTTCATTGTAATTTGGAAGATGTTCTTAAAAACGCAGCCCTTAATAGCCACATAGTTAATACTTTTATAAAAACTGGCTTATAATTCTCTACTTCACAGAAGTTGATGGCAGAGCAGGGTAAGAATTCTAAGCGCACAGTGTGCTGTGTCCACGAGACAAAGCGCAGTGGGAACGGAGTGCATTGTATAGAGATGAAACCATTTCCCTTTCAGAGAGAAGAAAAAATTAAATGTAAAAAAAGTACATACTACACCACGAATAAGGACACCCCTGATGACGTGATAAAAGCCACTCTACACAGAGGGACCTGTCACAGCGTGTCATTCACCTAGGATGATAACCGAATGCGCAGCTCTCAAACAACATGGAAGTTACCTAGATCCTCCTCCTCTGCCTTTCTTCCTGGAGAACAAACTTACTGGGGCCTGGCTACCAAGGCAGAGCGACTTTCCCCGTGCCCAGGCTGACCTGCGGCGTGCGCTCTGTCTGTCCTGATCACGCAGAGCACTTAAACTGCCTTCCCGGAGAGCGTCAGGCCAGCGGCCCCGCTCTGCGTGCCGGGCCGGCGCGAGCTTGGCAGCCACTCTGCAGACGGTTTCCCGAAAGATCGCCAAGATCGCCCGTGCGGAGAGCACTCTGCCTCTTTGCTCCTCCGCGACCCGGAGCTGCCGCCGCCGTTGCAGGGCTTTTAAAGGCCGGCGGCCGCCCGGAAGGACTCCGCGGATCCCGGTCGCCTGGAGCTGATTTCTGTGCACAGTTTGTGAATTTCTAACGCGGGGGCCTTCTGAGACAGTGTTGGCTGAATTCGCCTACGGGCATCGTGCACGGTGCGGGGAGACGAGGCCGAGAGGACAATCTGGCCTCTCCTGTTTCAGATAATTAGGCGCACCTCCGGAGTTACAGAGCTATTCTGATTGTGCCCGAGTATCTGAGAGGAGCTCCTTCGGAAGAGCTGTGTAGAACCTACTTCACCAAACCCGGGTGCATTTCAGAGATCTGGCTCCTCAGACGTCATTTCGGGGCCAACATGCTGCCTTGGCTAGGAGTGTGGTGTAGACGACGCCCAAAGGGGCACCAGGGGCGCGCGGCTCCGGGCTGCCGGCCCTGCGCCTGGACTGCAGCCGCGCCCGCTCGCGCCCCGGAGCTCGGGCGAATCCCGCAACTTGGGGGAACAATGGGAACAGTAAGCTGCAGACGCCCGTCGGGGATGCTGCCAAAGTTAGCTTTCAAAGGAAAGCGGCGAGTCAGGCAGCGCGGGCCGCGCCTCCGGCGCC